TTTTTGAAGTGCCCTGCCTGTGAGTCCGCGAGCAGTTTTGTGTCGGGTTGGCAATTCGCGACCGGCTAATACTAAGACAGTGGTTCTCCTGGGAGCCTCTGCAGTTTGATTTTTTCTTTAGTTTTTTTTCGAAATCAGTAATATTGAAACGAAACTAACTTGATTTTTGGGGTCTGTTTTTTTTGAAAAATTTCCAGAAACTTTTTCCATTTCGGATTTTTACTCATCTGGTTTGCTCAAAAATTTTAGTAGTTTTCATTCCACTCAAATCAACGACGAAAATAACCTCGGAAAAAGCAGATCATGCGGATACTCTAATGATGACAGCAAAAACAAAAATGTCATTGATAAAGTACCTCGAAATACAAAACATGTTGAGTAGACAAGCATACTTGTGGGATGTGTTTCAATTTTGCTGAGCGTGAACAAACCCACAAGGGAATTCAGGAAACAGAAAACTTACGTAGATCTCCTTTATAACAGTCTTGGCGGAAATATAAAAATCCTTAAAATGTTTTTATTAGATCCTTATGCAGTTCGGTTTACAGACGGTGGTGCAAATCTTAAAGAATGCTGAGACTTACTAGTGTCCAATAAATGACTGAACCTCAAAAAATAAGGAAAAAAAACGACTTTTTTTCTTTAAAAAACAAACAGGTGAGATTGCTAATGAACAAAACATCAAAAAAACTTTCGAGCGCTGCGAAAGTTTTTTCTAGTCTCTTAGTCGTTTTGTATTAGTTTAGCAAAAATAGCCGAATGGGACAATCTGGAAAAAAAATTCATGAAAAACACTGTGTCGCTTTATTTTTTTAGATAGAAAAAATTTGAAATAAAATCGAAAGAAAATTACTATTAAAATTAAAAAAAAAGCTGATTAAAAATTATTTTTAAAAATACGAATTAAAAGGGGAAAGAAAAGATGCTCGGTTGAAGTCAGTGATATGAACTTGCAGCGTTTTAACGCCTTTTTGAAAATTTTGCGAACCACTAGCCAGCACGATTGAAAAAAGATTGCCAACTTTGGAGTATTACGTACATTTCTTGTATCTGATGAAAAATTAGCACAGACTTTAAAAGTTTGAGTAACTATCAAAAAGTGCCACATTTTCCAAACAAAACATTTTTTTCTATGCTTCCCTTCCTCGCGCAGCGGTCAGTACCAAATGAAATGTAACGCGTTTTGACTGTTTTAAAAACTGAAAATTGTTCGCTTCGGTTCATTCGGATTTTTCAAGATTTGGCAAAAAAGTCTCCAATTTGAATAATTAAAAGTTTGCAGAAATTGATCACCAGTGCAATATCTTTTTTTATTGCTTTTGCTGATAAGGTTTATATTAAATCAACCTTTCGTTCAGAATTTCAATCCATAGTTTCTAATGCTAATTTATATTGGACTAATGTGTTCAAATTAACATTGCAAGCATTAGTTAGAGCTATCAAAGTTTTTAAGACTGTATGAAAAAGTTTCCACCTAAACTGCAAGTTAAAAAGGAAAAAGGCGCCCGAGCTTCATACCTGGAGAAAAAAAAACACCCGACCAAAATCATATCCTCCCTTTCTTCGAAGATCGGAATTATAAGACTGCTTGTATATTAGGACAAACGCCTGTTCTGACTGCCCTCAACTTGATCTCTAATTGTTTTTGCAAGAAAGATTTTTGGTTTACGTTGAACAATCTGAGTCGTTCATAAATGATAAGAGCCAGTAGGCTACCTGCTTTCAATTCGGAACATTTCAGTGTGCGGGATGATAAATCATAGATCAATCTTCAAGGTATTAGACGCGCAGTTATTTTAGGCTCTAAGATATTTTACGGTAATGCTTAGATCACTCGCTCAGATTGAGGTAAAATTCCAGGTTAGAGCTTCACTCTATAACTTTTTTTAATGTAGTGGTCTAAAAAACAAAAAGCACCCCCAAATTTGGAACAGTCATAGCAAGCAGACCAGTTCTCATTTTTGTACCCTGTCGCGACTAACTTCAAAATTATGTTGCGACCAATTTCAAGACTGTGTGGTGACTAATTTCCATACCAAATCAACATTATCTCTGACTGTTACTGCGCGAAAATAACGACTTCAGACTAAAAGTTCCAATAGATCAGAGTGAAAAAAGCATAATGGCTCGTATGTTAGTTTGAAAGATGCAGGCAAGAGTTCGATTCCCACAAAGTGGCACACAAACGGTATTTCAAAACTTTGTCGGGGACTACAAAACCTTGTCCAGACTATATAGATTCGGTCGCGGATTTAACATCAGCGCGATTGACAAAGTCGAAAAAGAACTCGACCTGGGTTTCTTCTTTAAAAAAAAATCCGTGTACAATTATTTTGAGCGGCAAAATTAGTCAGCCGGTGTGATAAGTGAAGGAATTGTACAACTCAGATTCAAAAACAATACTGTTTCAAAGATTTAATTTAATCTTTGAATTTAGTTTTTTTTTCTATGGTTCTATGAACCAGCTCGAAGACCGTATCATTATGTACGTGAGCTTAAGATAAATAATAATGAAGTCAAACGATGATCAACATCCAATGACCTTGGTAATAAGATAATAACGATATAACTGCATAATTATACATAACAATATGAGTCCCAAGGTCAGTGATCAAAGAGAACAACAATTACTACTGCACTTGCAGTAAGTGCCGTACCACAGCCGGGTCGAGGTCCGCGACTTAAGAAAAGGTTTTGTAAGTCTGGAACCAGTTTAAAACTATTATTTATAACCAATTATATTCTTGATAAAACTAACTCTATAAAATATTTCTTACTAACCAATCATGAGCCATAACTAATACTGATAATTATTTGTAGAGCTGAAACTACTAGTAGTTTCAGCACCAGATCAATTTAAATAAATCTTAGCAGACAGTTGTTCTCCGTTGGAACAAGTTCGAGTAACCTAACCCACAAATACCAGTATACAAAAGATCTATTGAGACTAGGAGATATAAGAGTAAGATTAAGATTGGTATTAGAGTAAGAAGTTGCACGAATCTATTCGGCCGAAAATAAGATAGCGTGACGAACAGGCGGTGTACCTTATCTGAAATTACTCTACGAGTAAGCTACTCAGGCTTAAACTCAAGTCGTTCCGCTTACCGTTTTCAGACTAGTTTTCGCAGTCGCGCCGCGTGCTTAAGTCGCGCCCTCAGTCTTCTCTTATGTCGCGCAATCAGTTTTTTCTTAAATCGCGCCATTTAAGTCTTTTCTTGAGTCGCGCCACCTAAGTCTTTTCTTAAGTTGCGCCGTCAGTCTTTCCTTAAGTCGCGACGTCAGTCTTTTTTAAGAGTTGCAATTAAGAGTTTTTGTTGTTGAATTGAGTTTTTCCAAAAGTCCTAATTTGCTTTCCTCTGGTTTGTTTACATCTGAACGAAAGTTAGCTAATTTGATGCGATATGCCTCAAGAGCTGCCATGTTTAGGTCTACAAGATCTTCTTCCGACGTAACCAATTTCACTGAGTGCTTGTAGGGGTTTCCATATCTATTTGGGCCTTTTTTTCGTGGCCCGATCGCTTCGCCCGATTGTAGGTTCACCATCTCCGGACGCATCCGAAAATTCTGGGGGAGCATTAATGTGAATCTCTTCTTCCGCATTGAAGGATTTTAAAATCTCCTCAGCGGCTTTCTGAACCCCCCTTGTCTAAACTTGGTCTGCCAATTTATTCCAATCCTTAGTGGTAAGATCTCGACTCTGGAACGTTTCCAGTATTTTGTCATCTGGTGTGTGTCTCGTGATGTCTTTACTTTCGTTCGAAGATTCCCTCGGAGTGGATGTACTAGGTAGTCCTATTTCTACAGGGGCTGGTAATATGTCGAGGTCATTGTCACGTGACATTGTGGCTTCTGCAGCTGTGTCCACAGCTTTCTTCTTCTTCGTCTCTTGGACCGGTTGTCTCTTAGCGCCTTGCTTTGTCCCTTTGTTACTTTTCGAGTTTTGTAACACTGGACTCGCGTTGTTAGGTTTCGCGCGCTTTCCTGTAAGGTTTATGCCTCCGTGTCTTTTGATATGACATAGTATTGACTGTCTTGAAGTGGTGTTTCCCCATTCTTCAAATTTGAACGTTTTGGTAAATCTGATAGATCTTCCGAGTCACTAATCTCTGACTGAAATACTACTTCCTTCTTCTTTGATTTTGTTTTGGGTTCATCGCCGTGTGGACTCCTATTCGTGTTTTTTTCTTTGTGGGCTTTTCTTGCGGCTCACTGTTGACTATCTTTGCTTTCGCGATATCGCTCTTACGATAAACTGCTCCAGCAGCTGTTTTCACCGTGTGGGGCGACTCGGACTGCACCTTCCCCTTGAGCGGATTCGTAAGTGCTTTCCCACTTTTCCTATTCTCATCTTTTCTTAAAAGAGTGGGTGATCCTGCCAATGTATCTTCCTGAGGTTTGTCTTCGATGAACCCGTACTGCCACGAGTACAAACGCTCTTTGTGTAGATCTGGATTTATAGTACTGGTTTCGTCTACTATCCTCCTTAGATCATTATTTGAGGTGTCTCTTCTCGCCTCGTTCCATCTGGCGTTCGCCTCCAACAACGTCTTTAGCGCTGTTGCCCTGCTTCTGT